ACGAATTTTTTGAAATTTTTAGCTCAGCTATTGACTCATGTTGTAAACTCGACAAACCCAAACTCACCAAACGAAATCCTATAAGTAATCCCTGGATATCCGACAGCATAATTGAAGCAATTGAAAAGAAAGGTCAGCTGTATGATAACTGGGTGAACTCAAAAAAGCTCCCTGACTTCAAGCCAGTTGGAGATCTGAAACTCCACAAAATTTTTCGTGATTACAGACGCTGTCTTAAAAAGATAATAAAAAACCAAAAAGATACCTATAACTGTAACAAAATTCTTGAAAATTCTGATAGTTCTAAAAAGATGTGGGAAGTAATAAATGAGATAAGAGGGAAAAGGAAAAAAACCATCAAACCCCAATTTATGGTAGATGGAGTCCGTGTTGTTGAAAGACGGGTGATAGCCAACAAATTTAATGAGTACTTTGCCTCTATTGCCTCAAAAATGAATGAAAATACTCAAAATGGCCTTCTTTTAGAACCTCTTCCCTCTTTCCTCGAATTCATGCCACTAAAAACTCTCGATTCAATTTACTTCCATGACTGTAGTGAAGATGAAATTTCTGAGATTATAGCCAACTTGAAGAGTGGGAAAGCTAGCGACTTTCCCATAAGAGTAATCAAAAAACTATCGGGTATTCTTAGCCCAACTCTTGTTGTTCAATTTAATCGCCTAATATCTCAAGGGATATTTCCGTCAGTTCTGAAGCTTGGCAAAATAACCCCAATATACAAAAAAGATAACGAAGAACTGATTGAGAACTACAGGCCTGTTTCCACACTTCCAATTTTTGGTAAAATTTTTGAAAAGATAATATACAAACGTCTTTACAGCTTCTTGGTTAGTCAAGGAATCCTTCACGACAGTCAATTCGGATTCCGAAAGAGTCACTCAACATCACATGCACTTAACTACTCAGTTTTTCACATCCAAAAGGCCCTAAAGCAAGGTCTTCATGTTCTAGGAATTTTTATTGATCTAAGCAAGGCCTTTGACACAATAGACCACACAATTTTGCTTGAGAAACTTGAAATATATGGGATTAGAGGAGTGCCACTTAAGTTACTGGAAAGTTACTTGTCGGACAGAGAGCAGTGTGTGTCCGTCCTGGGCGAAGTATCAGACAGACTTCCTGTTCTCTATGGCGTTCCACAGGGGAGCTGCCTTGGGCCTCTCCTGTTTTTAATATACATAAATGACTTAACAAACTCTCAACTCGATAACACTAGCTATGTCCTATTTGCTGATGATACAAACATATTTGTAGTTGCCAAAACTAGAGCAGAGGCCTACAATAATGCAAATAGGGTCCTACGATCAGTCCACGAGTACACATTGGCTAATAAATTACATGTTAACGCCAAGAAAAGTTGCTACATAGAATTCAATACAGCTAAAAGAAAACTTGATGATCAATCTTTATTAATTGAAAATAGACTTTACCTCAACGGCCTACCTCTCTCAAAGGTGCAGGAAACGAAATTCCTGGGAGTAATTGTCGACGAAGGCCTAACTTTCAATCCCTATAGAGACAAACTAGTTAGAAAACTCTCGTCCTGTTCTGGGAGGCTATACATGATTAAGGATAAAATTCCATCATCTATCCATAAGGACCTGTACCACACACTTTTTGAAAGTCACCTATCTTATGGCATTACCGTTTGGGGAGGTGCAAGTAATAATAAACTTCAACCACTATTTGTAGCCCAGAAAAAGTGTGTTCGTATCATGTTTGGTGACAAAAAAGCATACCTTGATAAATTTATGACATGTGCTAGGACTAGACCTATCAGTGAACAGAAACTTACTAGCAAATTCTTTGAGAGAGAGCACACCAAGCCAATTTTTGCCCGTCAATCACTCATGACATTGCATAATTTATACGCGTATCACTGCTGCAATGAACTTTTTAAAGTCTTTAAATATCGAACACCAATTGCACTATTTGAACTTTTCTGTTTGTCTAAAAGACCCGGCAAAGAAACTCTTCTTATAACAACCATGCCCTCGAACAGTTTCGTTTACAAATCTAGTTGCCTTTGGAATTCATTCCGTCAGATGTTGGCACTGAACGACCTTGAAATCACTCATGGTGTATTCAAATCAAAGGTAAAAAAGTCATTCTCTCGTCTCAGGGTAAAGGTGACAAGAATACCTGGGCCCCTTTGGCAAACTTTCTGAACTCAGGCAGCTTGAACGACTAAATTTGAAAAAATAAAACTTCTTGTCTGAATGAACTATTAGAACCTCAAGAAGCTGATCCGCATGTCTCCGCTACTAAAATGTTTAATGAGCCCAATCACTCATCACTTAACAGTTTAATCTTCAAAGTGAGTTGTACAATCTAGGTTGCTTTAAGTAGCTGTTGATAGTGTAAAACAGGAGTGACTTGATCGTTTTCATAACTTCGATTTACAATTTGTACCATAATAAAACTAGCACTGCCATGGGGTTCAAAAAGGGTCATTGTAAGCCTCCAGCGTAATGGTCCTAAGTCTCTGCCCCATGCAGTGCCTGTCAGCATCAGCTAGCAGAATAGCCCTAACATAACGATCAAGCCACAAATTAGGTTCTATAATGATTTAATATTGTTGAATAAAGAGATTTGAATATAATATTTGTTTTATTCTGAATATTTGTTTTATTCTTTAAGGTTATTAATGGCTTGACTGATTATGGTTCAGACTTGTTCAGACCAAGCAGATCAGGTCTTAATCTGGTTTCATCCAATAGATGTAGTAAGAGTGTGACAAAGGTCAAGAATCTTCAGTGTTCTTTTCTTCCAGAGCGGGTTGTTCCTTATTGGAACAAACTCCCTTCGGAGGTGAAGAACTGCTTGACAGTTTTGAGTTTTAAAATTGGATTGGAAAGTTTCAAAAAGAATATGATTTCTAAATGTATAGTAAATGACTTTCATTTTTGGAATGTTTCGAAAGAAGTTTTAACAAGAATTGAAGGTACCAGTTATATCAGTAATAAGGAAAAACACAACGATTATCTGTGGTTCCATCCTTATGTAGCAAAGAAACGTTTTATAAATCTTTACTCCACTGGGAAGTATGAATAAATTAAATTTTGTAATGTTGTTTTTAGTCATGATTAATATTTGATAAAGTATTACCTTTAAATTTGATGGAGAAATAGTTATTTTTCCATGTAGTGTGATGATACTTTGTAGACATTAGTGATGATGTTATGTCATAATTTTTACTTTACTTTACTTTACTTTACAATTTAATCCTGCCAAGTGCAAAGTAGTGCACATTAATTTTAACAACAATCCTAATTTAAATTATAAGGTAAATGGTATAGAACTTGAAGTATCTGCACAGGAAAAAGATTTGGGGGTTATTACCCATAGCTCCCTGCTTTGGAACGAACAGATCAAAGCATGTATCGCTAAGGCAAATCGTATGATGAAGGAATTTAGTTATTAGAGAAAAGGTTGTTATGATTGCTATATATAAAGCTTTAATAAGACCTCATCTTGAGTATTGTGTCCAATTGTGGAATCCACCTGCGGCTCATGGAAGTTGGGGGACTGTTTTGGAGCTGGAGAGCGTCCAGAGGCGGTTTACCCGTCTGATTGATGAGGTGGGTACTCTTCCTTACAGCCGTAGACTGGAAATCCTCAATTTGACAACGCTGGCAGAGCGGCGAATACGTGGGGACCTTATTGAAGCTTTTAAGGTTATTAATAGTATGACTGATTATGGTTCAGACTTGTTCAGACCAAGCAGATCAGGTCTTAATCTGGTTTCATCCAATAGATGTAGTAAAAGTGTGACAAAGGTCAAGAATATCCAGAAGTCTTTTCTCCCGGAGCGAGTTATTCCATATTGGAACAAACTCCCTCCGGACGTCAAGAACTCTGTGACAGTTTTAGGTTTTAAAATTAAATTAGAAGGATATAAGATAGATATGATTTCTAAAAGTATTACAAATGATTGCTTTTTTTGGAATGTTTCTAATGAAGTTTTAGTAAGAATTGAGGGAGCCAGTTATGTCAGTAATAAAGAGAAACATAACAATTATCTTTGGTTCCATCCTTATGTGGCAAAGAAGCGTTTTATAAATCTTTATTCCACTGGGAAGTTTTTAAAATAGGATAATGTTTTTGATGAAATTGTTTTTAAATATTGTATTTGATAATTAATTAATGTTGGTGGGGAAATATTTATTATATATTTTTTCACACGGTGCGATGATAGTTTGTAGACATGTGTGATGATGTGATGTCATAAATTTTACTTGACATTACTTTACTTTTAAATATATAACCTCCGTTTGTATTATATTGCATTGATCATTTCACTTTTGCTCCCTAAAAAAGAAGCGAACAGTAGTCAAGTAGGTTAGGTAACAAAGTTAGCACAAATACAGGTCCCAAACTCGTTATCTTTTGACAAATTTTTCGATCCACTTAATAATATCACAATTGTTTATCAAAGTATCAATGAAAATAATTGTTATACAAAATTTCCACTTTTTGATAATTTTCAGTGCTCATGGATGAGGGAGAAAAATGAAATAAATGGGCATGTAGGGAATGGCACGCCAGGTGATATATCTCCACGGGATGGGTTATAAATCTGTTTGCACTCTTTTCACTTTTGCAAGTATTTAAAGGGGGGTGCAATTTTCCTGAATTTTAGGCCCTTTCACTGAAAAAACGCCTTATTTATGTATTTTCCTGTCCAATTTAGCGTTCGATGGACGCGAAAAAATATTTGGGGTACCCTTTTTTGCTTCAGGGGGCGCAAAAAGCTGTAGGGGGGGGGGGGGCGAGAAAAAAAAGTACCCAACCTTTTTTTTTTTTTAGGGACACAAAAAATTTTAGGGGGGGGGGGGGCACTTTTCGTCACTGAGCGGGGGGCGCCAACAGGCTAAGTTACGCCACTGGCAAACCCCAGGTTTGCATTTTAAAATGCCACTTTTGTTACCATTTTTAATTCAAACCTATTATTTAAAAATTGAATACTTACTTAGGGAATGATGGAACAGCTCAAGATTACGCTTGCTGGAGCCCCGTGTGCGCCTTTTGTATCTGAGCTGAGTGGTGTAGGTAAGGATTCCGGATTTTTCAGTTTTGCGATTTGTAGGAAGGAGCCGGAGCCCATTACACAAGACGCCACATGCTATATCATTATCTTACAAATCACCTGTATATTAAATAAGGAGTTTGAAGAACACAATTTGTTAATACCACATTAACAAATTTATTATGATAATTTGTATACTAACCATACTGAGTACTGACTCCATAGTAACTTAAACATCAGTGCAGGTCTACGTGCTACCCAAAAAATTGTTACCCAACGCAAGTTGTTCAGAGAGGAGCCCATTATTGGTGGACAGTATTCATGGGGCATTGTATATGGGTAAGCTTAGTAGCACGGGAAACATAATAATAGTATTTGGAGTAATTTCAGTTGCAGACAAGAAGTTATTTGGATGAAGAAAATTATTGAACTTTATGGTTTTTTGGTTTGTCTTATTAGGGACACTGACAGCCTATGTCCATGGCAGGTATGAAGCCTGTCATCACTGCCTGAAATCTCTTGAGACTCCTGTAGGAATGGTACAAAGACTCTCTAAGGATAAAGAATTGACATTACCAATAGCTGATCACATGCCTTCTGTTGATGTTTCCTCGTTTGCTTTTTGTCCAGGTTTGTATGCTTTTGTTTATGATTATTGATAAAAATTATGAAATTGTGATGTCCAAAGGCCATGGCTTTCTAGATTTTTGCTATGTATGTCAATCATTTTTGTTGTCGTGTTTTCTCTTAACACAGAGATGTTCATTCAGGTTGCAAGGTTATGTTCTGTTCTGATGCATGCTTGAAGACAGCTCTGGCTCAATACCACACTCCAGTTTGCACTAATGGTTTGTAATTTTACCCCAAGATGATAAAAAGCTAGAATTTTGATGATTTTCAACTGCTTACTGCTAACAGCTGACTTTCAATCAGGTGAGCCAGATCATCCTCTGGTTAAGTTAGATGAATTGTGGAGAAACATGCACTATCCCCCAGAAACAACAAGTTTAGTTATGATCATCAAGATTATTGGACTCTCAATTACGTCAGGTTAGATAATTGTAAGTTCTAGATGGATGATTTTAGGAATTCCTATTCCTAGTTAAACATTGTTTATCACTGATATCATCTCGATGATAAATTGACTCTGTGTTATTTTAAAATTTTGCTTGTCTACTTAATATTTAAGAGTCTCAATTCACCAAGGTCAAAGTCGATTAAGACTGTTTTTTATTTTAGTAGCAACCAACAATGAATCGTAAGACACCCTAGGAGTTAGGACACACACTCTCTTGTTACCCATTATCCTAACCTTTTATCCGTTTTCAGGAAAAATACCAGAAATCTTTGGAGAATTTTATCAAGCAGTCGAGAACAGGGGAAATACTCACAAAGTTCTTAAACCAGAATTTATATCACAGTTGGACCTACTTCGAGATGGGCTACTTCAAATTTTTGGGAGCAATTCTCTTGTTCAGCAGCTTCTTCTCAGAGAAAATTTCATATCCTTGATAGCTCTGATAGGTAACCATTGATACTATATTCTGTAGCCCAACATAAATACCTAACTTTTGGTCACAAGGGACATCACGCATCTTCTTCTGCTGTTGTTATGTAGTTGCAAATACCTTGATTTTTAAAACTTGTTCAAGTTGAAAACTAATTCAGGCGTTTTCAGGAATGAATGGTCAAGGAATAGGAACGTCATCATTCGCAGACTATTGTAAGCGATTAGAACATTTGCCCTTAACAAAAGACGACAAGGATAACCTTGATAGACGGTAGGTTATTTCTTTCTCGTAGATTACGAATAACGATGCTATTGATATTTTATGTTAGATGCAAGCCATAGTAGATTCATTTTTTCTAAATTGTCTATAACATATTTTAAAACTTCCTTATCGGAAAGCGTTTTGTTAAAGTGAAGCTATTGACAATTACCACAGGATAGAAGTGTTGTACGATAAGATAGATGAGGAAGTGGGTAGATTCACTGACGTGGAGGGAACTGGACTTTATGCTCTGCAGAGTAAACTTAACCACAGCTGCGATCCTAACGTTCAGGTTATTATTTAGATCAGAGAGTTAGTTAATACTGCTAGCGTTTAGTTAGGATTACGTCATATTGGCTTGAGGTAAGTTGCTGTTGATTGTAAACAACTTGCTGAGAGCTTTAAACAAATTAATAATCACTGTAATGTAAGTTGTAACTTTTAAAATTCGATTTTATTCTGATAGTTTATTTCTGTCCTTTTTAGGAAAAAAAGGCCGTAAATATCATTAAAGATATCATGCTTATTAATACATTACTTGTAGATTAATGGTAATCATTAAAGATGTCATGCTTATTAATACATTACTTGTAGATTAATGGTAATCATCAAAGATATGATGCTTATTAATGCGAACTTGTAGATTAATGGTAATCCCATCTTCAGATCGTATTCAGCTCTAGTAACCACGAGTTGAGTGTAGAAGCTTTGAGGGATATTCCGGAGGGAGAAGAACTGTGTATTTCCTATCTGAGCTGCTGTCAACTTGAGAGTTCCAGACATTCCAGAAGAAAGTTCCTACTCGAGGTATGCCATCTAGAAGATTTTAGTTGCACTTAAACGTTAGCAGTATTAATTATACAATTATATACATGATGCACGCGAGACCGCTAGATCTTATCTCAAAATACCTTAACTTTGTCAGTTTTTCTTTATGATCATAATCCAATAATTTTGACAGAACTCAATCGAATTGTATGTTCGATTTTCACAGAATTGTATCTTGGATTCTGCCCTAAAATGTACCTATCTGTAGTTTTATACTCCTTCCAGAATTATCTGTTTGAGTGCGAGTGTGGGAAGTGCAGAGCTCAAATTAACGACCCAGATGTTACATCAGATGAAGAAGAATACGACAGCGATGAAGGAATGGAATGTTAAATTGAGATCATATTTCTTCAAACTGTCTGAGCTACAAGATGATCTTGAAATCATCATCCCTAATTTTTAGCTATTTTATTATTATTTCTGTTTTGAATGGTATGAAATCGGTTTTTAAGAAGTACATGGCTTAATTTATTTAATCTTTACTAGTACTGCATCTTTTACTTTCAATTTTATTTCTTATATTTACCTTATTCTTTTACTTAAAATTAAAACCATAGAGGACCGATAAAGTTTACCCCATATTGTTTGAAAAACAAGAAAACAGGTCCCAGGTTTACCAACATCCCAAAATTCTCATCTCCACCACTCACCATGAATCCACCGTGATTGTTCTAATATATAAGTAGGAGAAGACTGTAACTAATGTCCCTACTTTCTAGCGAGAATGGACGATGGCTCAGATGTTGTACCCTTGATAACCGCTCAATACGACCCCGGCTCAGGGTCCAGTCCCAAGATATCAGCTTTCTACGATGATATTGAGAACAGTATTCAAGTGCCGGATAGGGAACCCAGTATGATTAGTATGGATACAAACTCCGTGGCACTGGAGAGAAACTCACTTCCTCAACCCACTAATAGTGAGTCTTCTTTATATTTAAACTTTGTTAATTTTAACTCTGTTTTAATATCTTTTACTGTCGTTTGACTCTATTACTAAGTTGGCTCTATTGAAAATCTGTATTTATCATGGGGTTTCAAAGAAACGTTTTCCATTACAATAGAGCCATGTTGATAACCCAAGCCCTGTTAATACCCCCATGTTGATACCCCAGCCCCTGGCCCATGTTGATACCCCCTGTTGATACCCCCCTCTGTAGGACTATACTACCCACCAGAAGTAGAGAACGCCGGGTCAGAGAACTTATCAGAGAACTTGTCCGGGAGCTACATCTCTTGTCAGATATGCCAGACCACCATCTCCATCAAGTCTCTGAAAGCGAGGGTTGTCAAGTGTCCACGCTGTCAGGAGGGAAATGTAAGTCTTGGTTTTAAAACTAACGAGTCTGAAATATAATAATTTTAGGGTAAATACCATCACTATTAATTAAGCCTTTCATCCAACTTGAAGAGTGAAATCCAAACACTATCAAATCAATGCCATCCAGTTGCTCGGGGATTGTGTTCACAGTTAATTTAACCCCTCATTCTCCTCATCAGCCAATCAAAGAGCCGCCCCCTGGTAAGAAGTACATCAGATGTGCTTGTAACTGTCTGCTAGTGTGTAACAACACTGCACGAGCGGTTATCTGTCCAAGAGAGGGCTGGTACGTGATATCTCGTTCTTTGGAATTGTTTAACATCTGTCTTATCTCGTTGGGAACGGGATAATATCATGTTCATGTTGAGTATTTTAAACCTACAAAAAATGTACTCGTCTTAAAAACTCTTTCTAAAAGGAATCCCAGGAATGGCTCATTTCTACAAATTTAAATCATTCTAATTCCATCTCCTCGCTCAGTAATCATAGAACACAACTTGTTACACCTCTACCTACTCCTCAACTTGTCAAGGAGAACAAGGAACCTTCCATCAACTGTCCCAAATGTAGCTACAACATTAGGGTACGACAATATCTAATCTTTGCAGATTTTTTTTCGGAATTTATTTTAAAATCAGGTTGATGGACTATTTTTAGTGTAAGACGAGAGTTGATAACTTTTGCCGACTTTCACGAGTTTCAAATTTCTGTTATCTGTAGATTATATCATTCGTCAGTTAACGTCTTAAATATAAGTACCGGCCTACAGATGTTGAACATCAAGTGAAGGAATCATATTTCAGGTATTGCTTACAAGCAGACAATACTTTCGATGTTCCAGGTGCAATACAAGGTAAGCAAGACAGAAGACTTATCAAGAGTTATTTAATAGCATATCTTGGGTGAAGTTACTCCTCGACCGATAACTTTATCGTAAAGTGAAATACAATATCAAATTCACTTTTTAAGAATGTAACACTTTTTAAGAATGACACATGGATATTGGATATGTGCACGATACTATAAAAATATGAACTTTATCCGTGCAAGGGATAGTAAACATTTGATTTTAAAATTCGTGGAAACAAAGAATCTTCCTGCATAACGTGTTGCAATTGCTTATATCTCAGGATCACGTCCTTCACCAAGACGGAACGCTCACTGCTTCTCCTAAGATACCTCGGATTCTTTATAATCATTGCACTTCTTCTTACTACTGGAATTCTTATCTTGGAACTGGTTCCTGGAAAGATTTGGGAGCCTCTTATGTTTTGTGGTAAGTCACAGGAGCATTGGAATCTTGCTCAGTCTTTAAAATATATATTTATTGAAGCTCCATATTGGATTAAAAACATCTGCCTAATGTTTGTGATAACTATGTGTTACTGTAGCTAGAGGAATACTTTAGTAATTTATCTAGATGTTAATCAAGCATCAGCAAAATGGAAAAAATTATTTAAAAAGGGTTTCATATTCTTGTCGCTGACAGACGACAGTCTCTTGCAAGCTTTTATCATATGGTTCAATTTCAGGTTTAGCCTTTGGAGTTGGATTCCCCTGCTTGATATATCGTTTGATCCCGCTATACAAGTCAAAGCCTTACCGTTGATAGATTGTGTTTATAACTTACAGAGATAAAATTGTTTAACGTTTTTAATTTATTTGTGTAAATAATCATGTAAAGATGGAATGTATTTAATGTTTATGAATCATAACACTCAAGTTAAATTATTGTTATCCGTTTATCATCTTGTCACGTGACTAACTCCGTTTTTTGTTTTTAAATACATTTTCTACGTATGTTTTTTAATGCCATATAAGAATTTAGATAAATATGTTCCAAACGTGCAGTGCCCATTGACAATTTATTAACCGATTTGATTTATTGCTTAATGCATTTTTTCCTTTTCACCCTTTTGAAAAAAGGCAATAGTGAAAGGTTACGAATGGACGATTTTGCAGAAAAACATGGATTTTGGAGAACGAGATAGGTGGGTTTAAATATGTCGTGTGTCCTTCCTTCCTTCCGTTCGTTACCATGCAACGAAAAAGTTGGGCGCGAGCGAGGATTGCTTGCGGAGATGTGATGTTTAGATAGCCTGTGATCTATGAATGCGCGGCGCGACTGTGTTTTAATGTATATGATGCATGTAATGTATAATCTTACTATTAGGTAATACGCCCAATTTGTACGTGGCACGCGTACAAAAAAAAAAGAAAAAAAAGGAGTGTATTGATGTGTACACGAGTATAGTTTACCTTTGCTGATAATTTCTTGAACTACAGATACAAGTTAAGTTCTACGGCAATTGATTTGAATTTCAAGTGTTTCCCGTATTTGATGCATAATTTATTAATATTATTATCATGAAGATTGAAGTGAGCTGATTGGAGCTTATACTTAAATTTATAGTAAATGTGAAATGGAAATCTAGCGTCCGCCAAAACGAAACAACGGGCGCAATTCTTGTTTTATATGTTAATAACATATGTTTGTTTGTTTGTTTGTTTATAGAACCCGTCCCCAATCTCGTATCGGAAAATGACTAAACTCAGGTCTGAGTGTGAATACGGGTGGTACCTGCAAGAGTGTTCATTAAGCATTTAGAGTTCTGTAAAACTGCAGTTACAATTGTGCTAGAGTATTTTTAGTATATACGATTGGTATCAGATTTATATCCCTACATGCTTCCAAAATTTGTAAAGCCGTAGTACATACATATTATATTACACCGGAGCCTACACAGTGCAATCTCCTCCAGTCGATCTGCGCCGCGTATGTTTATATAAGCGCGCGGCGCAGACTGGAGGAAACCACACTCTGCAAGTTCGATCCAGTGCAATGCTACATGTACGTACTACGGCTTCATCTCCAACTTTCTGCACAATGTACTGGAATGTTTTGAAGGAAAAGAAAGAACAACAAAAATGATATATATAAATAAAATCAGCGATTTAATGTTAGCCTTAGGAGGGTAACTTTAATTCCCTGGTTTCTAAAATCAGCTTTTTAAAAAAAATAATAAAGTATTTAACGTCGATACCAAACCGATTATTGAGCGATAATAACTGAGTAGTTGATTCCTGGGTTGCGGAGTCATTCAGATGTTCCAGTTTTTTAATGTGGTTCTTGTTCAGTTCTTGACCAGAAGTGTCTAATGAAGTAAGTCAGACAAGCAAACTCTTCCTTAAATGCTGATATAAGTCGTCTCAATCCCAGAAATTATGAATGATGACCCAGTGTAAAAGTGCAGAAATCGGCCGAAAATAACAAAGACTAAAAACAGTTAAAAAGTGACAGGATTCAAACACAAGGAAAATTAATAACTTAGAGCATAATAAGGAATATCTCTAAAAGGAGCTAAAATATACCGTTCTAGAATGCCTCCGCAAACTATTGCTCCTTTGTAATGCACACGTGTTAGTAAGTGTAGTAAAAAGATAAAAATAATTCTGAGAGGGTGAGAGGTTCTTTAATTGGAGCTAATGATTAAAAGAGACCCACTAAAGGTACTAAATTAACCGGACTGCTAGCAAGGAATCGAGATTGGGAATAAAAATAAAAGCGGAATAAATTTTAAGATCTAATAACATATTGTCCGTTAAAGAAAACATTAATATTTCCGTTACCTGTGGTATTATTATTAACTTCTTATTAGCATAATAATTATCTCACATAACTAATGTAAGAATGGTCGATTGAATTCTCTGACCGACTTCAAAGTTTTTATTGTCCACCTGATGCCATCCGGGCACAATGCTATGAGTTAGTTTTCGTTTGGCGCAATGACATGTTTTTATTAAAAGTCTATTTGACATCATAACGAAACGTGAATTCTTACCGCGCGCATTATAGCTCTGCAAAAGCGCATGAGAAATCCGCAAACGCGTCCAACCTTTCTTTTCGTGGTTTAACTTTACAATGACCTGTCATTAATCTCAGTAATGATGTTGTGTTGGAAACGATAAAGTCATGTCAAAGAAGAGGGTCTCTTACTTCTATGACCCGGAAGTCGGTAACTTTCACTATGGTGCCAACCACCCTATGAAACCCCACAGACTAGCGCTGACTCATGATTTGGTTATCGGCTATGGATTGTACAGAAAGATGTCGGTAAGAACCATACTATTTGCTTCATTTTGTACTAAACATTTTTTAGCTGGACACGATGTCATCATGTGAAGTTTATATGCTTAAATAGTTGTTATCACCACCGATGATACATTCATATATTCCAGGTGTTCAGACCTTGCAGAGCAACAGATCAGGAAATGTGCAAGTTCCACTCTGTAGACTATGTAGACTTCCTCCAGCGTATCTCCCCTCACAACATCCAGGTAAGGCCCACAGTCTCACATCCACGTGCCACTTTTAAACTTAAGTGCTATTTCAGTTCGGTTCTATGTTCGGTTTGGATGTGCGGCTTCAAATTTCACCCTGTTCATTGGTCGGAGCCGAGCATGAGAACTGAACTGAACCTGCCAAAAGTCAAAAGCGTATTAATCAGTCAAAATGTCTGCAGCGACATTAAATTGACCGGCATGAAACATTCTTAAGTTCATTTGCTAGTTAAGCAATCTTGTATAATCAATCTTGATAATGATAACATATGGTTTCACTTAAGGGGGGGGGGGGGGGGGGGGGGGGGGGGGGGGTTCACCCTGATTTTTTTGTGAAACTTGGTTTCGAGATAGCAGTTGAACAACAAACTAGGACCGGTGACCGAACTTTTGAGGGGGTCCCGGACCCCAACCGCCAAACGGTGCCCGCGGGGCAGCCACGCCTATATTTGGTCCAAATTAGGCCCAATTTAGCTAAATACCCTGATTTTTTTGTGAAACTTGGTTTCGAGATAGCAGTTGAACAACAAACTAGGACCGGTGACCGAACTTTTGAGGGGGTCCCGGACCCCAACCGCCAAACGGTGCCCGCGGGGCAGCCACGCCTATATTTGGTCCAAATTAGGCCCAATTTAGCTAAATACCCTGAACATGCCTAAAATCCAAAATTGAGGTACTCTACTTGTAGCTAGTAGTCCCCTGAACTCGTATATGCATTTTCATTAAGATTGGACAAAAATGACTGAGTTATGAGCCAAAAACCATATGACCATATTTGGGCATACGCACCAAATTTGGTCGATTTTGGCCCATAAATTGGTCAAATATCAATATTTTTGCATGAAACCAACTTTAGATGGAAGGTAAGCCTATACTACACATTCTCTATGATTAACAGCTCAGTATCTAACTAACTAGATTTTTTTTTTTTTTTTAAATCGCCCATATCTCAGTTCGCAATATTTGCAAAACTGATTTCGCTCAAAACAATAGAACTCAATAGGGTTTCAATATTTTTACATAAAATTTTCAGAATCAACGTAGAATCGAATTTCGACCTTAAGTTTTGTATTGGAATTTTGAGTTAGGCCTTTAAAAAAATTTGGCGGCCAAATTCTGAAAAATGCCTGGCAAATTTTGGAATTTGGCCGCCAAATTGACAAATAGATACTGAGCTGATAATCATAGAGAATGTGTAGTATAAGCTTATCTTCCATATAAAGTTAGTTTCATTCAAAAATATTGATATTTGACCAATTTATGGGCCAAAATCGATCAAATTTGGTGCAAAAAAAAACCAATTCTGGTTTTTAGGCATGTTCAGGGTATTTAGCTAAATTGGGCCTAATTTGGACCAAATATGGGCGTGGCTGCCCCGCGGGCACCGTTTGGCGGTTGGGGTCCAGAACCCCCTCAAAAGTTCGGTCACCGGTCCTAGTTTGTTGGTCAACTGCTATCTCGAAACCAAGTTTCACAAAAAAATCAGGGTGAACCCCCCCCCCCCCCCCCCCCCCTTAAGTGAAACCATATGTTATCATTATCAAGATTGATTATACAAGATTGATTATACAAGATTTATAATATAAAATGATCAAATTTTTTCTTGCAGGGCTTCTCATTTCTGTGCAACAAATTCAACGTTGGTGACGATTGTCCAGCCTTCAGCGGACTATTTGACTTCTGTTCGATTTATACAGGTACGGTATTCAGATGGCTTTAAAAGCCATCTGCAATGAAGTGTTTATACCACAAGGGGGGTGGGGACTGGGGGGGGGGGGGGGGGGTGGTACCGTAGTTAAGTTTTCCAAAATTGTCCCACATTCAAACGACGATTTGGCGCCCGTACAGCGGGGTCGGCGGGCCCTTCGTTACGCCACTGCAGTGCATGATATACGTTGGATATATACCATCGCAGTGTTTTATATTTGAGAGTTGTTGCTTTGCAGATGGACATACTGTACTTATTCATTCGAGGATTCTCTTCCCGAACATGCTAGATGGCCGATTTTCACAGATTACTGTAGATAATTAATTGCTGCATCTGATCTGAAAAAATGAGGCAAAACGGATTTGAAATTACGAAGTTATCAAGCATTTTGTGTATCTCGTTAACAAAATTGATTGGGTGATTATGTGACATGACACCTTAACTGGGCTACCTTCACAATTTAACGGGTCGCCTAATCAGTAATCACTTGATCAGGTAAGCCAATCACCTGATCACACGAAATAAATAAACTCGTTATGTTTCGTATCTCAGTCACCTGAGAAGCGACAACTCTCATTTTTTGTAGAACAAACGTAACTCGAATGGCCAAACACAATTCAATAAAATTTAAAATAAGATTTAAAATTCCTCGAATGAGTAGTGATAGTAAGTCATACCAGAAAGAATTATTCCAATAGGGCACTCAGTGACTGAGCTATCAAGGCCAACACATGTGCACTCACTTTTGGCAAACATATAAAATCACTGCTTTCGAACAAAATCTCACTCACACAAACGAATGTTTTTATAATTTCTTCCGCATCTATGCATGAATAATGAAGATTGATCTCGAAAGTTCAGTCTCTCAACTGGGCAGTGGCTCCTTTTCATCTTGGAGACTTACTATTTATAGCTCTTCGGTCTCTTTAAAATAGCATGTTCGGGCTAATGTTGTTTGGGTGTTATCAAATACCTACCGCTCAATTCTGATATTTACATCAGTGTTACACATATATACTAGTATAGTATCTCCACATATTCGAGTATTTCGTTATACATCAAATAATTAGAAAAGCCAAGGTTTAAAATTTCGACACCTGAGTATTGAGTAATAATTAATGAAGTCTGAAGATACAGTTAATGACAGAACATGCAACTCAAATACTCTATCTTCTTAAGATTTAGACCCTAGTTAGACGGCACTACGTGATGTATGATGTCATACATTACGTAATGCCGCCTCTCTTTTCATACAACTAGACAGTACATAACACTGCAGGTTTAACTAGACGTATAACGTCATGGTGCACATATCCTCTTTTAGAGGCCTGCTCACAGCCAGCCTTTGCGCACGAAATCAACAAAAAACTTAATACTATACTGATTACTGCTGTATTTTAAACTTTATCTGTGATAATGCCTGTGAAAATCACTTTTACCAGCTCAAGTAAGTAACCTTCACATTCTATCGTTTGTCAAGAGACTGAGAATTTACCTTACACGTTGAACAACACGCCAAAATTTGAAAATTTGATTTTTAGAGGCCGCATCGAATCAACATTAAATTTCTTGTACTCGTGTTTGCAAACATGCTATAAACTTCTTTTTAATAGGTATATAGGGGGGGGGGGATCATGAGTATCCCCCCCCCCCCTATTTAGATGTGGAATATGATCTGAAAAGATGACGCGAAACGGATTTGAAATGGCGAACAAATTTGTTTATCTCGTTAGCAAAATTGATTTGGTAGTCATGTGATGCTACGATACCCTAATTGGGCTATCTGCACTAGATCCACACTATTATTCGAATGAGAGATAACAACAAGTCATACTAGAAAGAATTATTTCAACCGGACACTGAGAAAGAAGCCCCAATGTATGTGTACTAACTTTTCCCAGCCCCCCCCCCCTGGATGAAGGATGTCGGTGCACATTTTAATGTTTATTTTTCGCCGTATTTTACCCAATATCCCACACCCAGGAGGAACGCTAGAATCAGCCGTACAGCTGAACAACAACGTGTGTGACGTAGCAATAAACTGGTCAGGCGGCCTCCACCACGCTAAAAAGTTTGAAGCCTCCGGGTTCTGCTATGTCAACGACATCGTACTAGGCATCATGGAGTTGTTGAGGTGAGAATTGAGATTTAGCGACAGTGATTACAAGAAGCCTGGACATTCCACGTGAACTTCCGTGTGGAATTTCACGTGGAGTGGTCGGGCTTCTTGGATACTGCCGATTCAGCATGCCAGTTTCCACGAAGTGTTTTGGAAGGAAACGAGAAGTTTAATCTGGTTTCGGTTAGTCCCCTTATCACGGTGCTAAACGTTAATTTGGAGTGTCTAATTGCATGCTGTGGGGCGTATCATAAAACCCGCCGAACCATAATCACCACCATAATTTGCCTCGTCCACTCTGTAAATTATTAAGCATGTAAGTTGGGGCTATATTGAGAAATGAGGTTTACCTTTCCTTCAGGAATTATTCCACCTACATTATCCAGCCCCCTCACCACTCTCTGTCCCCCCAGGTACCACCCTCGAGTACTCTACCTCGATATCGACATCCACCACGGAGATGGGGTACAGGAGGCGTTCTACCTCACAGACCGAGTTATGACCGTCTCCTTCCACAAGTACGGAAACGGGTTCTTCCCCGGTACGGGCGACATGTACGAGGTACTATTACTTGGGGTGACGTCATAGGTACACCATGTGACGTCATCATGCCAGCTGTGCTGTACGTTTAGTAATTATATCTGTATGTTCCTGTGAAACGCCCTGGTTGCAGTGTTGATTAGCTGATAAATGCGCTCACGTGACCCGTTCAATATCCGTGAGAGAAATTTAGAAGGTTTTACGTGTTGAGGAAAAGGGTGAGGTGGGCCGTATGAGACAGCTCTTACAAAAAAAACCTTATTATGGGCTGACCCTGGCTGCTTTCTTTCAAGAGGAATCCCTAAACAGCTTCATAGCAGTGCTGTGCAGGAATTTGTGGCATTCAACATAGTCTGTCCGTACGTAGACCCTGGCCATGTCTCATACTTTAGACAGCACATTGGCCACTTGTCACTTTTACACGACGGCACCGATGCGTTGTTAAATAGCAACTCAAATAGCAGATGGTAGTGTAAATTTTTGTGACGACGATTCTCACGCAAGGACAAACTCAACGCTGCAACATCAGTGTTCCAAAGTATTTTAAACGTTCTTACCCCAGGTCGGGGCTAGAGAGGGGTGTAACTACAGTATAAACGTGCCCCTGAAAGACGGGATAGACGATCACAACTACATGAGTATCTTCAAGCCTGTCATGCAGAGCGTTATGAAACATTATCAGCCCTCTGTTATTGTACTCCAGGTTAGGGACATTTATTTAATTCATCAAGATTCAGTTTACTTAAATTGAAGTTGAACCTTTATAATGAAATGGAAACTTCTGGCCCTTGGTATTAGTTGGGTTTGAATATATTGCTGACAACCGAAATTGAGTCTTGAAATGAGGAAATACACCACCTTTTTAGTCTATAACTATTAGAGATGTTAATAAGAGATGTTAAATTTAGCTGCAACGAATTATTAATGCTTTTTTGGCAGTGCGGAGCAGACTCACTAGGGTGTGACCGACTGGGCTGCTTCAACCTGTCCATAAGGCAGCACGGGGAATGTGTGGACTTCATGAAGAAGTTCAACATTCCTATGATAGTCCTGGGCGGGGGTGGGTACACTATAAGGAATGTAGCCCGGTGCTGGGCTTACGAGACAAGCCTGCTGCTCGACACGCCCATCAGTAACGACCTACCATGCACCGTGAGTTTTATTTAACTACTGGATTACAATTTGTCTAGAAAATGAATAAGCACCATTTATTTATAACATCCATTCTCGTCCTCGGAAAAAGCTGATTCTGCAGCTTTCCGCCTAATTGGACATGGACAAAAATGAAGTGGGACCCCGCCCTGATCCGCAAGTAGTGGACTAGAAGAAATATATTTTTTCCGGTCCACGAGAATAGACATTATGTATTTCAGAAGTTGGACCTGTAGCACTTGCGTGCTGGCATTTTTGGCATGTTGGATGTCGTATATTTAAGAGCGGTCAACTTGATAATCCGTTTAAACAGCTGAGAGGATAATGATTCTGGGAATGACTTATCATTTCTTAATTATCTGAAACTCAACATGTGTCGAGACATGAGGGTTGAGCACTAATATAGCTCTAATATAACACTATAACTGTTGCAAATGCTCGCTCAACCGCGACATTTACCACTGGTATTGGTAATCGGACAAAATATAAATACGCTGAATTTAGTTCATCTGTTATTAGTAAATATAATAGTTAACGTCTTACTGTATCATCTTTAATATGTCAACAAATTTTAAAAAGTATTACAAGAAATATCATAATATATTATGCGAAAATATCTAAGCATCAGAAGCTTTTGCCGTGGTCAAATTTATACTGTTTAGCTTCATAAACCCCTCCAACATAGTTTTTGTGGCCTCACTTTCGATCTTAACTGTACTGCACTCTGAACTAAAACTGTCTTCAAGCTCACCGTACTGAGATTTGAATGTGCTCTCCAAATCACCAAACTGAGATTTCTCTGAGTCGCTGAGTTGTGAGCTCAGACTACAATCCATTTCGCTGCTGATAACGTTTTTTATCGCAATATCCATGGCCTTGCTGAGGTATGACGTGTTTAGAGGTTGGTTAAGTTTAGAGTTTCTGTTTTCGTGTCGCTTCATGTGTTTGGACAAGTGGTCGCTTCTCATAAACCTACGGTCGCAGTACGTGCAGCAGTACCGCTTATCTCCGGTGTGAGTGCGCGTGTGCCGCGTCAATTCGTCAGAACGTGCAAAGCGCTTCCCGCAGTTTGCCCACGTGCAAACAAAGGGTCGCTCGCCCGTGTGGGTCCGGATGTGAGCCTTCAAATGGGACGACTTGTGGTAGAACTTGTTACAGTTCCCGTACTCACACCTGAACACTTTCTTATAAGATCTCACGATCCCGTCTGGTTTGTCGAGGTTACGGTTACAGGGATCAACGGGAGCCAGGTCACGGTTACTACTGATCATGGAGGTGTTACTGCTGATCATGGAGGTGCTACTACTGATTAGCGGGATGTCGTTCAGGTTACCCCGAATGTTGCTCAACTGTAAACTGGGGAGCAGGGACAAGTCTGATAGAAAGTTAAGGGAGTGAAGGGAGGAGGTGTCTAATTGTCCCGTGAACACTGTGGCAATGTTGGAAACTTGCGAGCTGATATCTGATGCCAGGGTCGAGGTGATGGAGTCTGATTGGGGTGGGGTTAATTGGGGGCTGCGAGTTATGGTTGTAGTTTCAGGGAGAGATTGTTCCACTAACATAGGGACTGAATACTGGGGATAACTGTCTGATTCTCTGACTGATAATGAGTCTGTGCTACGAGGGGAGACCTCTCCGGACGGGGGGGATCCAGGGGAGGATGCCGGGCTCCGGAACCCTTCCATCACGTGATCGTCTGACTTGACGAGCGGGGGCAGCTCCCCGGGGGTCATCTTTTCTTGTGAGCCGGACATGTTGATAACTTCAGAGGTAGTTCCCAGGTTCTCGTCCATTAGAAGTACATTTTTGACGCCTACTAGAAGGATATTGTAATCCGATGAATCTGTGTTGATTCCAAGACGTTGTACCTCGTTCAGAAGTAGAGTAGCGTTTGTTGGACAAGAGGCTCTGATGCTAACATGACCTGCAAAGTGGTTTATATTCAAAGATATATAAATATATTCGACTAAAATACAATCACTCCAAATCGAGTTCGAGAGCAACGCCCACTCTCATTTTACGAAATCAACATAACAGAAACGATTGACATGTCATGACATTAAACGGTTTGCATGAATCAGAAAGATCAACAAAGGGCGTTGGGAGCGACAAGTGGTTTGCGGAAGCACCAAGGAGAATAGCCTCGATTTCATTGACGAAGCATTACGTAATGGCTGGCGTTACGATCTCTAGAGATAGGAGGCGTGTTGTGTCATACAATATGCTCTGCCCAGTGCAGTGTATACCATGCCCTGTAACAACAAAACTTTATCGAGATATGACGTACACATCGGCTTAACGTGAGATTTGGTGATACAAGAATACGTAATGCTACGATCAAACTCCGCTCCCAGCAAACACAACTCAACGACAGATTTTGAGATTTGAAATAAAATGCAGGAAAGCTGCCGCAATACTCAGCGCAATGTTGCGTGAAAACCGTGAGAGAGAGGAGGGACTCACACTGACATGGAGGGTAAAGGAGTGTGTGGAGTCAACACACACACACGCCCACACATTCGTGGCGGACAAAGAGAAAAGGTTATTATAACACCCATCTTCAACACACATTACAGTACACGCCTACCTCAATAAGTTTACATCAGCTCTCACGTGGGAGACATCCGGCCCGCCCAGTGGCTGCCTCCTCTAATGAGCTGCTCTCATTGGCGCCCTCCTCTGTGTAAGAGTTATATGTAATTAACTATAAAGTGGGTGGGTAACATGCGGGCCAATGAGCCGCGCTCGTCCAGTCACGTGTCACCTCTCGGCCAATCAGCTGGCACGGTGCCAGCACGTGACCCGGCTCTTGCGAATCAGCAGGTACAGCCGATGACATGTGTTCGAGAGCCCTGCACTGCGGAAGACAGGCCAGGGGGCCTCATTTCTCAATTGAACATCTAACCGGGAGTTACACCCTCGTACCACGTGACCTGTCGTCCTGGTAACCATGTCACGTGACTCGGTCCCACAAGTCACGCCAGGCTCTTATCAAGCAAGGAGAGAGGAGAGATATGAGTAGGAGGGAGGGCCCATCCCACTCTCTCTCTCTCCCACTCTCTCTCGACATACACAGTGCGTCACAAACAACTCAACTTCACTGCTCGTCGCATTGTACTAGCCAACAGTGGAGCTGTCAGACTCTGTGATACACCGAGTCCTGCCCGAACACTCCCGGGCTGTTTATCGGACCGGGCTGTTACCAGTAACGTCACCTCTAATCAACCCAGCCCCCTCCTTCACCACTCAATGGACCTTTATCTTTACAACCAGGGTAGCGCCCTTAATTGCATTCAGCTCTGAAAAAGCTTTCTAACAACACATGCTAACAAGTATAAATGACAATGTGAAGGTCAGCTTCGTGCCCGCCTCATTTGTCAAGTGCACGCTCACGCCCTCCAACGTTTTACGTCGGCACACATATATATATAAATATATATATCCAATATTAATTTAGAGCGGGTCACGTCATGGCAGGCCGCCCCTAACAGTAAATGGTGCCGGGGGTCGGCTGGCACCTACACGATATCAGTCTGCTGGGGGCCCTCCTCCCCTTGTCCCCGTCTCGGGGCGTCGCCCACTTGTCTGCCTAACTACCACAAATCTGGCATTTTGAGGATTTCTTTCAGGGGAGTTCTGCCGCTGCTCTGTTGTGTAATCCGATGAAAATGTACCGGAAGAAAAAGACGTCACTAAATTTAGAATCGAGTTACTCTTAAGAAATTGGTTTAGAAAACCTTAAGAGTACTATAATCAGTTCATTGATCGGGGATTTGGTCGTGAATGGGCAGGGTGACATAACGCCGAGTTGGGTATTGACCTGAATAATTACATCAGCGGTATAACTATATGACCACATATTCGTATGGAGCAAATTTGTGGTTTATGCGTTATAAAACACATTTACAAAAGAGAATTCGTTCCGCTTAGAATTCGATGGACAAAATAAATAGAGCAGAATTGGAGAATAACGATTAAAGACATTTAAGTGGGCGGGGTTGCCAGGAGCAGAGGCTCCAAAACTATTTTTGGCTGGTTAAATGGTATCGCTTATTTATGAAGAGCAATTTTATTTGCAGCAATTTGCGTCTCCAAGCTTCCAAGCAACTTATATACGGAGGTCAAAGGAAACAAAGAGTTTGGGAAGCAGCCGACGTCTTGACACGTACTTGCCTTTCACAAAGTAAATAAAAACTACAGTCAATATGGTCAAAATGGTATCTAAGAAATATCTTATCATCATTCTTTGTCATTAAAATCATCATGCAGCCCCACCCTCCCCTAGTACAAAGATACGAAGTATGTCCTGTTGTTATGATTCACAGTAACAATGTTTTCGGTCAGATAACAGCGCGTTACATTTATGGGGACATGGCTTGTGTGCAGTGTCCGTTATCGCTCGGGAATGGTCTGGAAATGGTGTTATAAATATAATGTCACCTATTAAAGTGACTAGCGACAATGTACCTTAAGTTATCAGATAATCACGTAAGCGTACAGAAATTATGATTGACGCGGGTGCCGAGGTGATTTATATTTTTACTTCTAAAACTGAAAGAACAACTCTTAAAGCATTTTAGAAATCATCAGTCATTACAACGTTGCTTAAAAACTCACGAGATTACGTAAATAGCGAACGTTACCGTGCGTATTTTTTCTTCTCAGCGAAAATATGGATCACTTGGTGGTAACGTATAATTAATACAGTATAAATTCATAAGCCGATAACCCGAGGAATATAGAACTGGTGAACTGGTAAGTTCACGGGCTACCTGGTTCAGAATCATGATTGTTACGAAATGAACGATAATTGTTATTTTTCACTGAGATCAGTTGTTGGTCGTGTAGATTGTAGAGAGAGCAGTTTCAATGATACTAGTCACCATTAGAAACCCAGTTAGGAGGAAAAATCACATACTAGACGCGAATTTAATAACATTGTAAGCTTAATTGTACTGAAATTAGGGGGGGTCCAAGGGGAACTTTGGGGAACTTTGGGAAAGTCCCCCAAGATTTCTGAAGTTCCCCAAAAAAAGTTCCCCAAAACTCCCCAAAGTTCCCCTAAATTCCCCAAAATTATTCAAAATTATTCAAAATTTCTCTAATATTCATTAATACCCATTAATGTTAACATGTATGTTATTATAAGGTATAATCTTAACTTACTTGTTGATACATGCAGCATGATAATTTGTTTGGCATTATAATTTTTTTGGGGAACTTTGGGGAAAAAAAAAGTTCCCCAAAATTCCCCAAAATTATTTGTTTCATTGATAATTTTTTGGGGAACTTTGGGAAAGTCCCCCAGGTTTCCTGAAGTTCCCCAAAAAAAAGTTCCCCAAAACTCCCCAAAGTTCCCTTTGGACCCCCCCTAAATTACTGACACAGTGAAAGATAGTGGTGATCATAGACGTGCTCGGGTGTAGTTGTTAATAAAAAATGAGGCAGTGTTAAAAGCAAATGCACTGATTCCCAAATGCTCTTGTTAGGGGGCCGTTCACATAATAATAATATGACGTCAACAATTTTTGCCATTTTTACTGGGGGAGTCTAAATATTACTCCCCCTGACCCTCCCCCTCTGTAATAACTTTTACATAATGCCATTGTGGGGAAATACAATTTTCTCATTAGAGATTACGTAATGGAAAGTTTCCTCGATTATGACTGAGGTTCAATAGAGGTTTCAGGCGTGTCCATTCTTCAGGTTAGCACGAATCTCTGGAGTCTGGATGCTAGCCAGTAACTGCTCTTGTAGCAGAATCTCATTAACGTTTATAGCAAGCCGATCAATGCATGTCGCCTGGTACGGTTTCTGAACTTTCACATCTCTAATAGTTTACTGTTGAGCCTAATTTAGAGTGAACTTGTTTGGCGTTTATTGTATTCTAAATTGAAAGACGGATCGCATGAACGGCCTACTCATAATCCAGGAATATGTATCGTTTAGAAAAAATTCAAATTACTTCATTAGAATTTCTAATACTGATAATAAACCACCTTGTCCAGCGCGCGGGAAAATGCTTATGTGAGTGAAGTCAAGCTTCGGGGTAATAGGACGGGGTTTCAAAGTTCAAATGCTATTTCCCGCTGCGCGACCGTTAAAATATTGTTTGGTACGTCCAAATTACCTGAGCCCTACGCAATTCATCGTCATTAAACTCATCATTTTTCGCATAAACATGATCCATTTTAATAGCGAAAATATTGTCGAACCCCCCCCCCCCCCCCCGGCCCCCCCTCGGCGCTCCCACTAAAATCAAGATGGCTCATGACGGGCAAACATTGACACGTACCGACTTTATTTTTAAATAGAGTGGAGTGATATCTATTAGCTGCTTTTAATTTTGGTTCCATTGGAAAATATTGCGTTGCGCTATTATGGTGGCAAAGTGGCGTTGGTCATTAATTATTACTAATTTCTTAATCTTGTTGGAACTACACTCAGCTCGTTTTCTGAATGCCTCGATTTTAAAAGTTTAAATACCCCAACGCAACGCACTTTAAAATAATTATAATCGGACTCTCAACTTTATTTATGGAAACATACATCATTTCACTTGAATATTTTGCAATTTTAGCTATTTGGACTGTCTGCACCAAATTATACCTTCAGCATACTAATGAGGTCGTGCTGCTTTAAATTAATTAAATAGTTGATGTTTATTAGTTATTATTTAGCGGAATTTGGCATTTTGGGCTAAATCTTTATTGTATTCTCTTCTCCTAAATTGGTATTTCAATCATTCAAACTTTTACTTAAGGACACGTTCATTTGAGTTTGAGGATATTGGTAAACAAAAATAATAGCTTTTTCGACGATAGTGGCTTAATTTTGACATCTATTAACCTAGCATGTTCAGAAGTTCTGAACATTAGCCACGTAACCCATACTCCCATATGCACCGCTCAGAAAGAAAATCTATTGTTGTTAGGCACTATAATGGTTCAAATGTCACATTTTGTGTGACTTAGTTAACTGCAGTTGTCTAATTATCATTCCTTGGTCTGAAATACAGTAAATTAGGTCAATCTTACAATTATGATACAACATTGGTTAATGGGCACGGATCGAACGGTTACAAGGCAATATTTGGGTAACTTTGTCACACTCATGATACCATACCTCTATTCTAATGTGAGGTGTCCTAAAAACCCTTTCAACTCATTATTTGATGGTTGCTCTACCAATCATAGCCCTAAAATATATCGTTTTGAATAGTTAGCTAATACAGGCACTTGGTTATTGGGAAATGAGGTTAATTCTGTCACAATATATGAAATTTTAAATTTTGGGCGAATTAATTATATTTGATTTTGGTTTGAAAGGCGGGAAAACTTTACATGATGACAATGTAGTTGATGCAAGTTAAGATCAGTTGATGTTTACATTGTCACAAGAAATTATACGAAATCGTAAATAGGTTAAAAACAATGAATATAGAATGAAATAGTCTCTTATAATAACTCTTATAATAACTGATGTGACAAAGTGAACATGTCTTGCCCCTATTTTGAAGATCTATATTCTATACCTCTATTAGAATTCAACATTCTTAAGTTTAACAATTTTAGGTTAAATTTGTCAAAGTCACTAAAAATGTGACAAAATTAACTTTCTCTGCCCCAACAATATCAAGATAGTGTGTTAAAATTGGCATACTAGAATGCTTTATTGCCTATATAAATCAATCCAAACTACAAAATATATGTTAATGTGATGACGATTACCTAACTCTTATAATAACTGATGTGACAAAGTAAACATGTCTTGCCCCTATTTTGAAGATCTATAACTCTATTAGAATTCAACATTCTTTCAGAAACGATTGGAAGAATATTGTCCAGAACATCAGAGCTCAATTTTAACAATTTTAGATTGATTTGTCAATGACACTGAAAATGTGACAAAATTAACTTTCCCTGCCCCAACAATATCAAGATAGTGCACGTTAAAATTGGCATAGGGTGCTTTATTACAGGTATATTAATCGATCCAAACTACGAAAAATATCTTTTAATCTGATGACGATTACCTAACTCTTATAATAACTGATGTGACAAAGTAAACATATCTTGCCCCTATTTTAAAGAACTATACTCTATTAGAATACTATGAAACTTAATCATCAAAAATTTTTCGATAAACTAGTTATTTTGCCAGCAAGGAGCTAACAGAGTTATAATAATTTTTTTGTGACGAAATTATCCTATTTTTGACCATGTTGTGGTAGTTTAATTGTGACACTGTTAACATATTACCACCTGATAATGATTCATGTGACTGGTGCATGGTACTAGAAGTGTTGTTTGATCCATAGTACGTAATATAAGGGGTTTAAGCTGGTATATCATTATTTGTTCAATTTCACACATGTTCAGATATCATCAAGATTATGTGACAAAGTAAACTTGGTTGTGCTTTCTGTGTTTTAATTTCTTACGACTATATGATATAATAACAATTCCCAGCACTTTCAGGCCATCAAATAAACCTACACTACTCAGCATTGCTTATCAGGGTGCCCTAAACATTCATCACATATTTTCTTTAATGTGTGACAGAGTAAACCTGAGTGCACCATCTAACGAAAAAAGTCGTCAAATATGTAGGTAATGGTCATATGTACCCATCCAATCAACTGGACACTCAAAAATTTGGTCAAAAACGGCAGCAAGGGGTCCATATTTACTCCGTCACATGTTTATAGTGTGACAATGTAACCATTTCCGTGCCGGCCGTATTTAAGCGATATCTTATCACCTGATTAAGATATCGTTATGTGACAAAGTTAGCCTAGAGGATGATACGATTATCCTAACCATCAAGGGTTTATGTAATTTCATAGTGTGACAAATTCAACTACACTGTGCCATTTAATAGGGTCACTTATATTTACCGATATCCTCAAACTCAAATGAACGTGTCCTTAAACATTTTGAAATGTGACAACAAATTAAACAATAATTAGCCATACAAACGTGGGTCAAAAGATAATATGGCATTGAGGTGAAACTTGTTGATCCAAATCTTATTTTGAATCAAAACTTACAATTATTGATCAAAACGTCAAAATAATTTAAGATACTAGATATTATGTTGTCTAAACGTTATTATCAAACTTTACAAAAAGTAATTTAAGCAGGAACTTCCTAATCATTTTACACAAAAAATCAAATTTCACATCAAAGTATCAAAATAACTAGTTTTAAACAATTGCTCTGAAAACTGAATTTTCTAAGACGTAACTCAAAACAATAGTCATGATATAATTCATGTTCGGACACGTCTTGCATGAATATGCAATTAAGATATTAGCAGTTTAAACGTGCCAGCCGTATAGTAGCCATCCAGCTCACTTTAACTGTGAATCATTACTTCACCAATGAATAGCAGAGTAGCGATCCTTTAAAAGATTATCATACAAATCATATTAACAAATTGTGAAAATCAAAACAAAGAAAAAAAAACTAAAAGTGAGTCATGAGTGATGGGTATCATCACTCTCATCAAACTTGTGAAACCAGTGAAAGTAACTTACAATACACTACACAGTGTCAGAACTAAAACCAGCTACTATCGAAAGCAAGTACTTTTTATACCGTCGTGTCTGGTTCTATATCGTGCTCTGTTGCCGTCGTGTCTGGTTCTATATCTGTTGCCAAGGGAATCCATGTTGGATTGGCAAACAAGCCGACCCTCTGCGGTACAGGTGCGACTGAGTTCATCTCTATGTTACAGTTACAGCTACCTTTACAGTTACACTTACCCTGCCTAGGCTCGCCCTTCTTTACTCCTGGAAATCTCTGGAATGTCTCCTGCAAAGTCTGATTGAACAGTTTTTTAACTCCCATCTTGATGAGACATATCAGAGGGTTAAGCACAGAGTTTAAGGGTAGTAATGTTAGAGACATGATGTTGTACCAGCTGGAAACATCAGCGATGTTGAGATTGTGGAGGATGCATATTATTGCGAACGGAGTCCAACAGACAAAGTCTGACAGCACTATAACCAGGATAAGGCGTTCAAAATATCTGGTTCTATCGTGTTCACTGTTCTTGGGGTCTCCTTTCTTTGAGGATTGCTCCCTTACAATACAAATCCACACAACAGCGATCAGCATGACCAGAAAACAGGCCGAATTCAAAGTTAAAACAATCCACGTCAGAACATTTCCCTGTTGATACACCATTGTTTCTTCAGGTCTGAGAATGTACTTGAACAGACAAATTTTGTCGTTCCCGTAGAAATGAACTCTGTTGACCGTCAGATTCCCGTAGTCGTTAGTGAACATTCCTTCCACCAAGGCACTGATCTCCTTCCAGCTCATATCTGTTGTTACATTTGCTGAGCTGTTTCCGGTAGAATAGTACTTCTCAAGTATGTTGACGTGCTTGACTTTAGAGTTGAAACCTGTGAACAATTTGTAGTCTTCTTCATAGAAATACCCCTGGGTGAAGTAGTTTTCAAATGATTCTCCGGGAGTCAGGGGGATCAGAGCCACGACCACCGCGGCTACTATTATCATTGCTGTCCACAGTGTAATCTTACTAACCGACGATCTGGTCACCGGAACTATTGCAGATCTATTCGAGACATTGTAAAGCCTCAAGATGGTCAGGAAAGTTAAAGAAAATATCGAAAGCTCTGTGCCGATTGTGCTGACAATTCCCAAAGCTGAGCACTTTGCACTTGTGAGCCAATGAGCTTGCTCCCTGCAGAGCTCTGCTCCATACATGATGTCGTAGATAGACAGAGTTATCACGTAAACTGCCATCAGAAGATTCCCCATGATTACCAACATGAGGAGCACTTTAGTATAAAGAATGTTCTCATATTTTATACTTTGTTTCATACCTTGAAGGACGGAGACAAGTGTACGGCAGGAGAGCAGAATGGCGATTGTTCCAATCGACCAACAGAGTCGTGTCAGCATCAGATCACTGATGATTAGTTTGCCACAGAAGTCGTTACATTCATCAGAAAGGTCATGACAGTCGTAGACGCCATCACATTTCTGCTCAAAACCTAGGAGAACTTTGTCGTCATCTTCGCACGTGAAATGGTTTTTGCAATTACGTTCATCAGACATGTCGCCACAGTCATTTACAAGATCACAGACTTGGGAGAAGTTAACACAGCGGCCATTGTCACATTCGTAGTAGTCATTGTGATAACGGCCCTCAGATTTTGTGACAAATGTCAAATAAGAGTTGTTTGCCAGCGTGTAGATCCGCTCTGAGTATTGTTCCGGACAAGAGTCCTGTTTTAAAGCATCGCTCTTCAACGGACAACTTGTATTGTCACAACGACCCATACAGCTCAGATAAACATAATGCTCTCCAAATTTGTCACTGCAATCGATGGGTTCGCTCGGAAGATATAGTTTGGTCCTTTCAACCCCAAATATATCAACTGTGTGATAATCAAACTCGTTCTCTTGGCAAACGGAGGTGTTCGTTTTTCCGCACAGATCTTTGACCGATTTATGTGATTTCTCTATTATTCTTTTCGTCGAGAAAAAGTCTTTTGACGTTTCACATACTTCGTTTTCTCTACCTTCACAAGATTCTTTGGAATCACAGAAGAGTTCAATCGTGACCGAGTTCTTGTTGTCAACCCCTGGGCAAACGAAAGAATTTCGACACTTGTTGACTCGACCTGCCCTAGACCTGTAAGTTTCAGTACCGCAGGAATACGATTGTTCAGCCTGATTCCACATATCTTCATCCAAACCATCAAGACAATCCAACTCATTATCATTAACCCAGGACCCGGGTATCGTTGTGCTCTTCCCAGGAATTCCGAATTTACGGACACATGTCACGTTTTGTGGTTCAGAGTTACAGATGTCAAGAGTCTCATCACTTCCATCTGGGCAATCCTTCTCTCCATCACAGAGCCTATGTTTATGAACCCGACAGTTTGAGGAAGCATCTATGCAGTTGTTTTCTGAGTTATCATCACAGAGTTGTTTGTTCCCACCACAGACCATAGTCTTCGAGATGGTTGATTGAAACCCTTTTACTTCACAATATCCGCCTACCCGATTTGTATCAGAGCAATTCGTTTGGTCTTCAAAGTATGTACAGTAAGGATACACAGGAGGTCTGGCAGAAAGATTAAAGATGGCACATCTCGTCCTGTTACTTATGGGAACAACTTTCTCCAAACTTTTCTCTTCTTTCTGTTCAAAATGAACACAGGAAGGGACTGCTGACTCATCCAATTCACAGTTTTCTTCATCTAAACCATCTGAACAGTCAGAAAAACCGTTACAAATACTTTGTACTGGCAAGTAAGTTTTCATATTGCATCTAGTTTTGCACACCATTCCATAAGATCGGTTGTTGCAGTCGCTTTCATCTTTGCAATCGTTGGTATCACATTCATCATTACATGATACGCTGGAATCATACTTATCCTTAGATCTGCTACCTAGACAATCATCCCATCTATTTTCCATCTCATCCAGGCCGTCTAAGCAATCTGGTTCGTTATCCATAATCCAAGAGTGGGGCAATATCATGTTCTTTTCGTTAATTCCAAACTTGCGAACACATGTTTGATCTTTTGTCATGGAATTACAGTCATCATGATTCTCATCACTTCCATCTGGGCAATCCTGTTCTCCATCACAGAGCCTATGTTTATGAACCCGACACTTTGAGGAAGCATATATGCAGTTGTTTTCTGAGTTATCATCACAGAGTTGTTTGTTCCCACCACAAATCATAATCTTGGAGATGGTTGATTGGAACCCATTCACTTCACAATATCCACCTACCCGACTTACATGTGTACAATTTGTTTGGTCCATAAAGTCAGCACAATAAGGATAAAGGGCAGGACTTCTTCCCATATCAAAGATAGCACATCTCACACTCTCGTGTATGACAACAATATTCTGTACATTTAGGTCTTGTTTCTGCTGAAAATGGACACACGAAGCCACTGCAGGGTCGTCTGATTCACAATTTGTCTCATCAACACCATCTGCACAGTCAGAGGAACCGTCACAGATTTGCTGTACAGGCAAGTATTTTCTCATATTGCATCTATTTTTACATGCCATTCAGTAGGATCGACCATTGCAAGCGCCTTCGTCTTCGCATTTGTTGGTATCACATTTATTATTACATAGCAAAGTGGTATTGTTAATCTCTATGACCACATCTTCTAAGCAATCATCCCATTTATTTTCTATTTCATCCAGACCGTCTAAGCAATCTGTTTTGTTGTCCATAATCCAAGAGTGGGGAAATGTCATGTTCTTTTCGAGAATTCCAAACTTTCGAATACATTTTTTGTCTTTTGTCATGGAATTGCAGTCATCATGATTCTCATCACTTCCATCTTGGCAATCCTGTTCTCCATCACAGAGCCTATGTTTATGAACCCGACAGTTTGAGGAAGCATCTATGCAGTTGTTTTCTGAGTTATCATCACAGAGTTGTTTGTTCCCACCACAAATCATAATCTTGGAGATGGTTGATTGGAACCCATTCACTTCACAATATCCACCTACCCGACTTACATGTGTACAATTTGTTTGGTCTAGGAAATCTTTGCAGTATGGATATGTAATGTATTCCCCTTCAATATCGAAAATGGCGCATCTCGTGTAATCATGTATGGGAACAGTTAGATGGTTTTTCAGATAGTGAGTGCAAGATTGTTTCGCGCCGTTCACGGTGCAATCTTCTCCATCGTCCACGCAATCTGAATTACCATCACAAATCTTTTCTACTGCTAAGTATACGTTCTCAAAGTACGTACCTCTGCAATTCATACCATATTGAATATCATGACAAAAACTTTCATCTTGGCATTTTTCAATATCACATTTACCATCACAAGTGACTTTACTAACTTTATCTCCTGTGTTGCAGGGTGCGTCTTTCAAAACGATTTGGAATTCTCCGGGGCACGACTTCCATATATCCTTGTCTTCGTCCATATTATTACTCAAACAATCCGATTCATCGTCCAGAAGCCAAGAGTGAGGTATCAATGAGTTTAGACCATGTGATCCGAACCTTCGAACACACTTATGGTTTTTTGTCATAAGCTGGCAATCATCATGGTTCTCATCACTTCTGTCTTCACAATCATCTTCTCCATCACAGAGCCTATGTTTATGAACCCGACAACTTGAAGAAGCATCTATGCAGTTGTTTTCTGAGTTATCATCACAGAGAATTTTCTTCCCACAGACCATGAACTTGGAGATGGTTGATTGAAACTCATTCACTTCGCAATGTCCGCCCACCAGATCAACGTCAGAGCAATTTGTTTGGACTGCAAAGTTGTTGTCTAAACAGGATGCCCAGTTTTCTTCTATCTCATCCATACCGTCTAAGCAATCTGTCTTCTTGTCCATAATCCAAGAGTGGGGAAATGTCATGTTCTTTTCGAGAATTCCAAACTTTCGAATACATTTTTTGTCTTTTGTCATGGAATTGCAGTCATCATGATTCTCATCACTTCCATCTTGGCAATCCTTCTCTCCATCACAGAGCCTATGCTTATGAACCCGACAGTTTGAGGAAGCATCTATGCAATTGTTTTCTGAGTTATCATCACAGAGTTGTTTGTTCCCACCACAGACCATGATCTTCGAGATGGTTGATTGGAACCCATTCACTTCACAGTATCCGCCTACCCGATTTACATCTGAGCAATTTGTTTGGTCTAGGAAATCTTCACAAAAAGGCTCAGAAGATTGATCACCCTCTAAACCAAAGCTTGCACATATTTTGATCTGTGGGATCTCAAACGTGAAGTTTTTACTTTGTATCAGATCGGAGCACGATAGATTAGTGAGATCGGTAATGGACTTGCAGGGAGAATCCTGTACTTCCACCTTTGTTTTATTAATACTATCAACACAAACATATCCTCCACAAAGTGACTGGGTGTTTGTTTTACTGTCAATGAATCCACATGCCTGGTAGAAATGAGGATCTTCTTTACAAATCCCAGAAAATCCTCCTTCTTCTCCTCCCGTTGTTAGCTTAAAAGACACATCTGTATGAATGCACCTAAAATAATGAGCCATGTTTTCTTCATCATAACAAACGTTCCTCAGAAAACCGTTGAACTCGGCAACCACACAATCCCCTCCTGACTCCCTCACTTTCTCGACTATCCTTAAATCCACACACTCAGGACAGTAACAGTCACTGTCTTTAGACCCGCAATCACCAGTTCCCAGGTTGCAACATGGCGATGCTCCTGCTGCATTACATTCTGCTGTCCTATTATCAGGAAGGAGGAAGCTTGGTCCACATTTTCCGTCTTCTCTAAAGGTGTCTTTTGTCCCTGAAAAAATTATCTGTTGAAGGGTTTTCTATATGAATAAGTTTTCGTCCTTTCAACACACTGTTGCTAATTAAATGTAATAGAGTTCAGATTTCTCTTATCAAAATTAAATCTTACCCTGGTTGGATGCTTCTACTTGTACTAGCGCAATGAGAACTGCCACTAAAACTGCAAGTGTTCTGTTTATCACCATTTATAGCACCTAGACAGATTAAAACTGGTTATTTATTTTTAAACACTACACGTTCTACGGTTATAATCTTTTTCCCGAAAAAGCGCGATTTTCACAAGTCGAAACACATGTTTTGAGGGGACTGAGATAGTTTCTTGGAATCACCTCAAATTTTGAGAATTGATTACGACGATGGACGCTAGATTCCCTTCATCCTGGTTTTAAACGTACATTAAAATCTGAATATATGTCGGACAGACGAATTGCAAACAGGATTAGATTCGGTTACATAATGATAAATCTAGACATAACACATTTTATGGTATTTACATACAAAAATCTTGAACGGGGATAAACGCATGATGAAAAAACAAAACAAAATATGGATATTTTCTTGATTCCCACAACATTGCAAAAGAGGGCTTTACCTTGACTTGCATATATATATTGCAAAAGAGAAATCAAACGATGCGCTTCTCTATCACCTTGCATAACTGAATGTGTCTCCACAAAATCAATTTTCAAACTTTAAACATCCAACATTAATCCCACCAGACAAAACCAATCTTTAAAATATGATGGGAAATCTGTACTCTTTTCATGGAATAGTCGGGAACACAACTTTAACTTTTGACATGGAAGCTTGTGAGTTTATACTTTTAAAATTTACAAACTTTTGTTGTCTAGACATCAAGCGCCTGAAATCTGTAGCCTCATTTTTATGAGAACATTAGAACAAAGTGAATTTGACTCAATAAGCAAGGAACGAAGTAAACGTTTAAACTAATAATCAATTTGGCGTTATGAAATTTACAGCAGTTAATTTAGGTAAAATACACTAGTCAAGTAACACTGCCCACTGGGGTATCTCCCTGCCCAAGTTAAAGCTGTGATAGTTTGGTAAGAGTCTCCACGAATGAAGAACAATTATAGTACATATGTATTTCATTGAAATTTTAAACATGGATGCAGTGTTACGATGATGTCGATTGCATTGTCCAATGCATGGACAATGTCCATGGCCCTTAGCAAAGGGGCAAATTGTGCTGTTGTACATCACATTGTGATAATTGTACCTTAACCTACTGCCTAGGAACATTACGTTCAGAATTTCGTCGCTTATACCCTTTAGGCAAAATGAAGGAGGAGAGTGGTTCAGATTTCAGAGAGCATTCGGAATGGAAAAAATCATCGCTATGGCCTATGACCATGGGGTTTTGAACGGGGGTGGGATGGCGGTTAATGCTTGCTCCGTACATATAATAACAATATCGGTTTTTTACCGTTGGTTTCATGTACTGACTTCAGACTTGTGGCTACCGTTGAAGACTGCTCATTGCCTAGTGCCTGATGGTGTTAGATTCAGTGTGTGATTGCTTCACCACCAAAACAAAACCCTCAAGCATTGTTTCGCAACAAATCAAATGAACGGACACAAAGATGGCAGTGAAGCCCCAGTGAAGCAGAATCACCCGTGTCGAAAACGAAATGTTTAATGTAGAACGTGATAAATTATAATGTATATGGTGTAAATAGTCTTTCAAACGGTTTGATCGATAGGTCCCATCAGGAAACGAACACCTGGACTAAATGAAGCGCTTATGCCTTATAGAGGTGTAAAGCTCGATCTATCGTGAATGCAGATTCAGGCTATGGAAATAAAACGTGTACTCGTAACTCACAGAAAGTGTGAACATAATTTACTGTACAAAATTTGAACAGCAGAAAGGAGTGGTGTGTTATAAATGTAAAACTAAATGTCATATTATGTTAGTTAGTAATCAACACTACACATAAATTACTAGAGAAACCCTTCAATATTAATAGTTTAATTTCAACAAACTGAATATTATTAGGCCCGGCAAGGATCTTCTACCGAGATCCGAGAACAGAGGTCGCACAAAGTTGTGAGGGTTGTACACATTTTAAAGACAACAAGTTGTTGCAAAATAAAAGTTAACTTTTAAAAAAGGAGTTAGATCGATTGTCTGCCCTCATACACATTTCTACTTGTATATGTAACTGAAGGAAATTGGGACAAACTCTAAAGAGGAACTGCGAACCCTGATGCGGGACAGGGATATATGGAGGGGGTTATCTGGCGTAGATCGGACTTAGTTCCGACATAGTAGTAGTAGTAGTATACACATTAGTTATAATTATATGCAGGATAATCCTGTCCGTAATTGTGCTCGTGACCGCGACAGGAGACTCAATGAGAAAATATAACTATAAGATCATCAAAAAAACGTTTTATCGAGGTGTAAATTGTTTAAATATTCTCAAATCAAATTGACAAGTACTCAATTTTAAACAGTCTTTGTCTTGCTTCAAAAACCGTGTGAAAATTTCATAAAAATATCTTCTTTTAAAACCTAAACTGCTTTCAGCGTCCTTTAACAGTTTTAAGTTGATATTAATTCTATTTGCCTAAAATTATATAGAAACGTCACTATTTTTCTCATGTTAATTTCGCAAGGAGGAAGTAAATCAACTAATCCTTGCAAATAGACAAAAATATTAAAGACAAACTATCAAGACTGAGACACTTTATGATATCTGTAATACAACATTAACAACGCAGTGAATTTTATGCGACAGCTCTCTGGTTTGCTTTTTGCAGAGCTGTGGAGCACAGGAAGCTAACTTGATAAGTGGACATGTTAGTACCATCCTCCTGCACTCGTTCTTTAAAATGAGATAAAACCTTGAGGTTTACAAGTAAGAATATGCCTATTTAGACGGATATTACATGATGGTATTTACTATTAACTATTTAAGGGACTCAAAATCTAAAACACGAGTGTCAAGAGCTTTCTTAGGAAATAGTTTTAAAACTTACTTTTAAAAAGTATAAAGTGAACAAACACTTTGGTCGGGTCTGTATTGACAGCAGAGGTACGTGAGTTACAAACTCTACAAATAGTGTCTGAGGTACTAAGTCTAACGAACTAAATCAATAAGTTTGAAATAAACTTTTGTTTCATTAAGGAAAGGCTCAATAATATATAAACGCTTGTTGGTTAAAAGAAAATATGATAAAATTCCAGGAAACTAACGTTTAAGTGTGAAAGCTGTCTTAAATGTAAAATAAAATATCTAACATCAACGTCAAAAGGCGAAAAAATATGTTATTTACCAAGGTCAAAGAGGTTAATGTATTGTCAATGACGATAGATTTCGATGCAAACATTCAGAATATTCCAAAATATTTAAGCGATACATCTTTGAGCGTACAAAAAAATGTTGGCTTAAAAAAATGTTTAAAAAAGCTTAACACCTCTGAAGGATGAAGAGCTTCGAACTAAATCATTTTTACTATTTCATGTACACTTAGCACCATTGTGCTTCTATAAATAGAATATGTGGCAGTTGTCTCGGAATCAAGATAGACGGAAAGCCAATTTTATTTTTGCCGACGCTTCTGTTTTCAACGAGGTGCTATAATAAACGGCATCTTTAGCTACACGGAGTTGTTACGAGATGAACAAAAGCTCACTCAAAAACTTACGCGAAATACAAAACTCTATACCACCAATAATTGTAGCTAATGGGGAATTAACCGTATTCCGGATGTCGATATATATAACTGAGCGATGTCAGTTTCCCTTTTGTGGCACCAATATCTACTATAGTTCATGTTTGAACTTCACAAGATGAAACAATACACAGTACACACTACAAACCCACCCGCGTAATAGGGGCATCATGCAGGTGCGATCAATATGGTAAAGTTTGAATCCTTACATTTAGTACAATTCATTGCATTCTTACAGAATACACATGACACACAACCAACGTACACCTACGTGCTCTAATCACTATTGCAGTAGAGTTTAGACCAATTGCTCCATTATGCAATACTACCCCGGGTTGGATGTAAGAAGCAATCTTTAGTCTTATAAGAGCCTAAGAAATGGCTGGAATCTTCACATATCAGTCTCGTAAGTAGGAAATTTCAAAGTTAGAACCTTCTCCTGTGTTCCTCTGGGAGCCGGCCATTTATTTGTTGGGAATCTTGAAATACAAAGTAACTTACACATTAGACCTAGTTCACGAAAGCTCGAACATAATGGTCATGGATGTGACTCGATTTCGCAAAAAACTTTGAACTTGGT